TGATTTGTTAGATCCGACATGCAAGGGTTCGATGGCCATGGCTTTGGTGAGGAAGGAGATTCGGCAGCAATGAGGAAGGTAGGGTTTCAGTTTGTGGGGGAGAAGAGGAAAAGATGAGTTTCAGTAAAAAATGATGCAGATTATTCTTACTTAGTAAAAATAAAAAGGAAAATAAATAAGAAAAACACAATTTTTTTTTCAATTCAGTTACACGTGAACATAAACATAAGTTTATGAAGATTTTTTTTAATAAGAATTTTTAGGAAAATGGATAATATAATTGAATTGAATTAAATAGATTGATTGAATAAAAATAATAAAAAAATTAGGTGTAATGTGAAAAGGAATATTTAAATTGGTTTCAATTTAGTTTGGATCTAGTAATGTAATGGTATAATAGATATTATATTAAAATAGTATGACATTAATTATTTAGGGGATAGTAATAATTCCACTTCTATCTTTAAATTTGATGTAGTGTGAAAAGGAGTATTTAAATTGGTTCCAATCTAGTTTCGATCCAATTCAGGGTTTAAAAGATAAAGCTATATAGTTTATAAGTGTGAACAGATGTAAACGCACAGTGTGGACATAAAAGGGTTTTTTTGGTTTTGCCTTAATATATATTTAGATTAGATTTTTTTATAGTGAATTTGGATTTAGAGGATTTGGAGGAGAAGTGGAGGAAAGTGAAAGGGAGATGACTTATTTTTTATTTGAATTAATTCTTTAATGAGGGTAGATGGAGCCTTTCAATTATTATATTGGTTAAAACACCTTTTTGGTCCCTGAACTATTGTACGGACCCTCGATTTGGTCCCTGAACTAAAAAAATCCCTGATTTGGTCCCTACTGTTTACCATTTTTACCCCGATTTGGTCCTTCCGTTAAACATCATCCGTTAACTCACAGATATATCAAAAATTTAAGCCACGTCAGTGTACACCTGGATAAATGATGACATGGTCATACTCAACACAAAACAAAAAGTGGGGCCCACCAAATTACAATTTTGCATCATCTTCTTCCTCCAGCATCTTCTTCCTCCAGCATCTTCTTTCTCGAATCTTCCTTCATTCACACAATCAATTCAATCAAATAATCAATTCAATATCCTTCATTCACACAATCAATTCAATCAAATAATCAATTCAATATCCTTCATTCACACAATCAATTCAATCAAACAATCAATTCAATATCGAACCCAACAATTCTTCATCTTAATCAAACAACCAAACCCACAAAAAA